TATCTGCCATTGATTTGCCTACTCCCCCAACCTGTCCAGGTCATGAAGAATCTGTGTCCTCGTCACAGTTCATCCTCCAACCCAATTTGGTATCATCTGCATACTTTGATATGTTACATTTTATTCCCTCATCCAAATCATTAATATATATAAGGAATAGCTGGGGTCCCAGCATGGATCCTTTTCTGTTATAAATCTGCTTTGTCACCTTTGGTTTGCTCCCCAGACCAGTCTTTCTTCCAGACGACAGACATTGCTTTATGTGGGAGAAAGTAGTGACTGAAATCCACTAGTTTCTCCTCAACACAAGACCTTATTGGGAGATGGTGGCATGGTGGTAACATCAGCAACCTAACTATCTCTACCTCAACCATCAGGAGCATTGGTTCAAATCCCACCATGGCAGAGAGCCTGGAACAAAAAGCTGGCCATGTAATCATTGTCAATTGCCATAAAAATTCACCTCATTCATGATTCTCCTTAAGGAAGTAAATCTATTGCCCTTACGAGGTTTGGCCTCCACATGACTCCAGATCCACAACGTGGTTGACTTGTTGAACCGTTTGAATCACTCAGTTCAAGGCCAATTAGGGATGGATACTAAGTGCTGGCTTGCTTGCAATGCCCCTCAAACCATGAACAAATACAGACACGTAAATCACATGCTGCTCAGAGCCATACATTGTAACCTTGAGAAATGAAAGAGCACCAAATGTGGTGAAGGTTAGTGGGAAGTCAGTGGATTGGGAAGTCTTTAAAACCCAGCAGAGCTCTGTTAAAAAAAGCAACTGGGGGAGAAGGCGGAGAATGAGAAAGACAATGAAATGAGAGAATTAACTAGTAATAAGTGACATTTGCACGAGTTTCCTTTAGATATAAAACTTTCAGAGGCAAGAGTGAACCACGGGAAAATGAGGCTGGAGTAGTAGTAGTAGGAACCAAAATGGCGGAGGAACTGAATAGGTGCTTTGCATCAGTTGTAATAAAAGATGCCTAGTAAAGCAGAACTTCAAGGAAGAGTCAGGGGGCAGAGGTGTGTAGTGGCCATTGCTATAGAGAAGCTGAAAGGTGGCATAATCATCTGAATGAATGGACTATGCCCCACTGCTCTGATGGAGAAAGACGAGGAGATTGTGGAGGCATTCATGTGATCTTTCAGGAATCACTTGATTCAGGCAGGGTCCCAGGAGGACTGGAAAAGGGCTAAGGTAACACCCCTGTTTAAAGAAGGGAGGGAGGCAGAAAACAGGAAACTATAGACCGGTTGCCCTGACCTTGGTTACTGGCAAAATTTGAGTGTCCATATTTAAGTGTGAGATTGCAGAGTACTTGCAAGTGCGTGGTAAAATATGGTTGAGACAGCACAAGTTTGTCAAGGAAAGGTCATGTCTGACAAATCTATTAGAATTCTTTGGAGGTGGTAATCAGCAAGATAGACAAATGAGAGCCAAATGGGCATGACAGATTTGGATTTCCAGAAGGTCTTTGCAAGGTGCTGCACAGGAGGCTGCTAAATAAGCTAAGAGCCAAGATATGGCATGGGCACAGGATTGGCTAACTGGCAGAAGGCAGATAGTAGGGATAAAAGGGGTCTTTTTCAGGATGGCAGCTGGTAACTAGTGGAGTTGCACAGGGATCGGTGTCAAATGTATAACATGAATAGTTGTGGTCCCAACAATCTGGATGAAGGAACTGAGGGCTCTGTTGCAGATGACACAAAGATAGGTGGGGGGACAGGTGTGTTGAGGAAGCAGGGAGGCTGAAGGAGGATTTGGAAAGGCTTAAAGAGTGGGCAAAGAAGTGGCAGATGGAAAACGATGTGGCAAGGTGGGAGGTTATGCATTTTGGTGGGAATAAGAGAGACAGACTATTTTCTAAGGGGGAAGATTTTGGAAATCTGGAGGGCAAAGGGACTTGGGTGTCCTAGTTCACGATTCTCAATGTTGAGATGCAGGTTCAGCTGGTGGTTAGGAATGCAAATGCAACGTGAGCATTCATTTCGGGAAGGCTAGAATACAAATGAAGAGATGCATTGTTCAGGCTGTACAAGGCTCTGGTCAGACTGCATTTGGAATACAGTGAGCAGTTTTGGGCTGCATATCTAAGCAAGAATGTGCTAGCATTGGAAGGGATCCAAAGGAGGCTTACAAGAATGATCCTTGGGTTGAAGGGCTTGTCATTTGACCAGCAGTTGAGGACTCAGGGTCTGTACTCAGTGAAGTAAAATGTTCAGTGGAGAGGGGGATGCATTGAAAAACTTACAGAAAGCTGAGATGCCTGGATACAGTGGACGTAGAGATGTTGTTTCCACTGGTAGCACAGGCTATGACCTGAGGGCACAGCCTCAGAATAAAGGGATGACCCTTTAGAACCGAAATAAGGGGGAAATTGCATCATGCAGAGGGGGACGAATTTGTAGAATGCATTGCTGCAGAAGGTTGTGGAAGCCAAGTCATTAAGTGAACTTAAGACAGAGACAGATAGGTTCTCAATTAGTAAGGGTATCAAGGGTTACAGGCAGGAGAATGGATTCAAAAAACATCCACGATTGAATGGCAGACACGATGGGCCGAATGGCCTAACTATACTCCTGTGTCTTAGGATCAAATTATGATTTGCCACAATAGCATCATTTTTCCTTGAAGGAAAGCATAAAGGTTTATTAATAAAATATTACATCTAGTGTGCCTCGAGTTTAAATTAAGATGTTTTTATTCCTTTAAGAGATGTAAGCCCAGGTGTAAGCTGACAAAGGCCAGCCTTGGTTGCCTACCTCTAAATGCCTTTGAGAATGACGGTGAGCACATTATCATCCACGTGGTCTGGGTATTTCGCCTTGTCCTAAGTTATAGTGATTGAAGGCAGACCAAAATGCTTAATTTCTCCTGGTTTAATTCTCGTCTCAGAAAAACCGGCACAATCTCTTGAGAATATCTCCCGAGAAATCCATTATCCCGACTCTGATCCGCAGTCACTACGTGGCATAACAAAGGCCCTGAGCTCAACTCACAAAAAGACAGCTATTAAAAGGAAGGATCCTATTCATTACCATAACATGAAAAACACCAGAAGTGTCTGAATTTAATCAAGAGATGAAACACTGGTTTCCTGCAGATATTATAATTTGCTTCCGAAGATTTAAGCCAATTTAGGATAACAGCTGTCAGAAGAAAACGCAATACTCTTTAACCACCCATGCCAATGAGCTATGCTTTTTTTAAGATCATCTATATCAGATTTATCAAAAACCTTAATCAATGATTCAAAAGTTAACTTATGTTGATTATAGTGAGTAAACTTGATTATAGCTCAAGCAAAACCTTAGCAGTATTTCACAAACTACTATTGGAACTTACTACCTCTTTTATGCCTTGGGAACAATGCGTGTAAGTAGTGTGTGGACCTCCTAATCTAAACCTCTGGCAAGTCCTCAGTCTACCTTGATGGGAATCCTGGCCTATCCTCTGAATATGTCCAAGTCATCTCTATTTTTTGATTTTCTAATACAAGATGATTAAATTTTGTTAAGGCAATGATGGACTTGAAGCCATTACTTCATTGTTCTGTTCAAGGGAGGTTACACACAATGTTTTTCTGCCTTTGGTCAGGGTTCAGTGTAATAACCCAACTTCAGCTGTTTCACCAATGATAGTTAATGAAGCACTTCCACTGACAATATCTCAAATAGCGTACACAACCATCTCAGATCAGGTAGTTTCTGCCAGAACACATACCACACTCTACAAATTGCCTACAGCCAGATGCCTACAGCCGCGTAGCCTAAAGTTTCAACCTTCCACTGAAAAATCTGTACAATGCTCAATGACGACTCAAGGATGGAACAGTGAACATTAGGCCTTTGCTCCACAAATGTAATGTGGGGAAAGCTCAGACTGCAACTGTGGCCATCAAGGTCAAACCATCACCCATACACTTAACTCCTGATCTCAAAGATCCATCCCCTGGAAACCTCTCAATCGGTGTCAGCTGAAGCTGAGGAATAGATCAATAACCTCAACATCAAATGATAACCGTTCCCCTAGTCCAAGGAACATATATATAACACTTTGCTTACCGCTACCAAGCATGTGTGGTGGTACAATGTAATGTATTTTGCGTTGTCCACAAATATTGTCCTTTGTCCAGACACTGTTTGGCAGCCTATTAATTCTGGCAAAGGATACAATCCATTTGTCCTTTGAACCAGGACAGCTGCTCTTCTCAGTTTCAGTTAAGTTGCTAAGTCTACACTCAAAAAGGTAATCATGTTGCCTTTCTTTACTGCTGTGCTCTTTTCATTTAGTAAGTCATAATTATTCTCCCTCTAACTGCTGGACTAACTCAAAACGTAATCCACCTGCAAGGCAAAACCCAGTCCTGCAAGTGCATTACAGTCCCTAAAAGAGATATTTCTGGGATTACATGGCATCAGTATTCAGATATACTTGACCTAAAGATGAAGCAGCCAGTGAACATACTCAAGGATCTCTGGATAGCTTCATTTATCTCCATAAATGCCACAAACCATGCACGAACTTTCAACAATGCCACAAGATCTTTGTCTTCTCAGAAAAACGTATACATTTTTCCTCTTAAACATAGGATCTGATCTCCATATGATACTACCCTGTCAAGTTCGGCATCTTCAAAGCAGAGGGTGACAGGAAACAGTATTCGAACATAGAACATCAGCCCAGGAATGGACTCTTCAGCCCACAATATTGTGCCAAACATGACACCAAACGAAATCAAACCCCGTGTACCCTTTGCCCATATCCTTCCATATTAGTGGCCGTAACAAACTAAGCACAGACAAATGATGGAGTTTGGAATTTTTGTGGCTGGCATATCTCAACATTGCACCACATGTTGTGCCCTCTAAGCCATCAGGAGAGGATATTATATCTCCTGGTGTTTGGCTCAATTAACGCTGTCGAAAGTGCTCACATCTCTACTAGTTCAAAAATAGATATTTAAGATGCACACAATACTGGTCTTACCAACTTTGCTGTTGATGCAGTTAGTCTCAATTTCTCCTCTATCTCCTTGCCTACTTTCTGAACGGTTACCTGAGTCTGTTTTATTACGCGTTGAGCGGTATGAAGCCTATAACACAAAAAGAACAAAATTCATTTTATCCATTTACAACATACATTTATCACAATAATGTAAAAATCCTCCCCTTTGGGCATCCATCCCTTTCAATAATAGTTCAAAGCAATGGCAGTATAGCTTCACTTGTACTAGTGAGCCCTGCAGCTACTTTCATGTTAGTATGCAGATGATGCAATTAATTCACAACAGAACTGAAAAATGGGAACACCACAAATCATCCTCCTGTCACAATAATTCCAAAGATCGAACTATTTTGAGAACAAAAAAGGAGGAAAGGGAGGAAGGAAGGAACAAATGGGCAATCACAATTAGCATCCATTTTGAGAAAACCTAGGCAATTATGAACGCAATTTAAACATTGTTCTAGGACAATGCCATTTGACCAAAAACCTATCCCACGCAGTTTATTGGGTAAAATTTTATTAGCACCATTGAAACAGGACTTTGAGTAGCTTCATCGCCATGAGTTATATTATATGGCTGTCATGTCCGATACATATACGTGCCAAGATTCACTTTAAAAATTAGATAAGAGGATTTTATTTCAGTTTGGAATACACCAATTCTGTTCCACTGGGGCACAAGTTGCTTTCTTACATTCAATTGAGTATAAAAAAACTAGGGCTCAAATTTCATAGCATCTACAATTTTTACAAAGATCATTTTGAAAATGTCACAGTTGCCATCATTACCAACTAATCCACATGAACGGCCCCAAGACCACACTCCATTCCATTTCAACGTTATTTCAACTGCATTATTAACAGTATATTAAACCAACATAGATTCAGTTTCAAATCATGTGAAAATTGAAATCTCTGAATGATAGTCAAATCTGTCTACATGAAGCTGATATATTTATTTGGAATAATAAGGACATTTGTTTGTGAGGGGTGTTGCAGGAATAGAGACACTGTGGCAGCGAGTTGAGGAAGACAGTCTTTGCATATTTTTAAGGTGGAGCCAGATCGATTCATTTGCCAATGAAAAATCTAAGAATACGGGGTAAGCAGGCAAGTCGCGGCCACACAATCAGATCGGCCATGACCTAAGGGACCACATGGCCCATGCCTGCTCCCAATTTGAACGTGTGTATGACTGCCACGCTCCAAGTGACAATACTGAAAAGACAAGAATGATTATGGTATCCAAAGGACGACACAGCACAAGAGGTCATTTGGCCTGTTGTAATTATACCAAGTCCCTTAGCCAAGTAACATTGGATGACAGCCAGATTAGCCTTGGTTGTGACGTGTTCCCAACCTCAATCCATAGTGTAACAGCCCACCACGTTAAGACCAGTGAATACAACATGTCACAGAAAGACAGAAATGGAGAAGAAAGCTTCAAACAAGTCCAAAACAAGGGGAACATTTTCAAACACTGCCACAAAAAGTACTACTCACTCGATAGACTAAGTGGCAATTGTGAGCAAGAATTCAGAAGGAAAACAACACCCAAACCACAGTAAATGTATAGCACATTTCAACTTGCAGTACTCTTTGGACACATTGAAGTGAAAATCTGAGTATTATTTTTGGTTCAGAACAACTATTCCAGCCCCCAACAGATTAATCTTTCAGAGTTCCATTAAAGCAAGAGCAATTTATGACTTGCTTCTATTTGTTTAGTGCAATCCTGTCAAGAGGGCAGCATCCACCCAAGCCATATTTTAATTGTTCTGGAGACCAGTATAGATACACAACATTGGTTAATCAACCAGGTTCATGGTCTTCAGCAACACTGTTTAAAAGTCTCAGACCTGCGCCAAATTAATTGAACCTCAGTCAGGGCTGAAGGAAAGTTTTTACAATTGCCGACAGTGGCCTAGTGAAAACAAATTGATCACTCAAAGGCTAAATTTGCTGGTAATGTTTGTTTTGGGATGGAAGAGAGCGGAGAATTTCACTGTAAAACTGAAGGTCATGCATTTCCTTAAGGTGGTGCAATCATCCAAATGTGTTTCTATTGTGTCATGCAATTCACTGTCTGGCATGTAGACTAAATTCTGAAACAGCACATAAGAAAATCACAATGTCTATTGCATCAGCAGAATACCATTTAAGCTGAAGTGATAAAATTCTAACTGTTCTTTGTAACTGATCTTGCACATAATTTTAATCTTAAAGCACACAGGTTAAAAGAAACAACTCAAGACCATAAGAAATAGGAGCAGGATTAAGCCATTTCGCCCAAGTCTGCTCCACTATTCTGTAAGATCATGGCTGACCTGTCCTAGGCTCAACTGTTCTTTTGTGCTATTGGAATATATCAATGGTAAAGGAAGACAACTTTATATCAATACTATTAAGAGATACCATTATACCAAATCCAAATCCTCCATTTCTAACTCATCAGTTAGTCTCAACATAAACGAAATCCTGAAAGATCAGCAATACACTTCCCACACATACGCACTGAATCAGGAACAGAACCAGGTAGATATGGAGTCATTAATGCCCCCCTTCACTAGCTATCCACCCAAAACACCACAATCCCTGACAACGCTGCTGCCTAACTGAAGGAAGCAAATTCTGTACAGACGAGGCATCAAACTAGGTAGTATTATAACAACATTAAAAGCTGAATTAAACAATGTCGAGAAGTTTCTGTCTCGGTCATTAAATCAGAAGTCTATTCCATGTATTTCACAATGTGGTGGAATCCATGACGAAGTAAGTGCAAAAATGAGTGTGCAAGTAAATTCTCTTTGTCAGGCTCCTGCAGGCCAAGATCATTAAGCACTCTGCATATTATGCTTGAAAAAGCAAGGACTTCTCTTTCACAACATAACATAGGCCACGTGCTCCCAGGAACTGCAGTCAAAATCATATGGGCGAGAATTTGTTGAAAGGTAGCAGCCTGTGTAGGCATAAAAGGAGTGATCTAAGTGGCAGGATCTGATAAAAAGTGTTCCTTAGAACCTGTACTACAGCCTCAGTTTGTCAACACGTATCAATGACTTGCCAGAAGTGATTTGCAAGCTGCAATTTTTTTTTTTTTTTTTTTTAAATTCACTCAGATCTGGACATTGCTGGCTAGCCAGCTTTTATTGTTTGTCCCTAGTTGCCCTTGAGGGCAGTCATGTAGTTGATTTTTAAATTATTCTCTGGGAAATTAAGCAGAGTCAACCACATGACTGTGGCTCTGGAGTCATATGTAGGCCATACCAAGTATGTATAGCAGTTAGCTTCCCTGAAGACATTAGTGAACCAGAGGGGTCTTTTCAACTATCAGCATAGTCATCATTAGAATCTCAGCTCTCATCTACAATATGCGCTGCAGGAATTCAAAGTTCTTAAGCAGCACCTTCCAAACCCACAACCACTTTCATCTAGAAGGACAAAGGGCAACAGGCAACAGATATATGGGAACACCACCTACCTTCCAGTTCCCCTCCAAGCCACTCGCCACCCTGACTTGGAAATGTATCTCCGTTTCTTCACTGTCACTAGCTCAATATCCTGGAATTCCCTCTCTAAGGGCATTGAGAGTCAACCCACAGCAGGTGGACTGCAGTGATTTGAGAAAGCAGCTCAATACCACCCTCAAAGGGCAACTCGGGACAGACAATAAATGCCGGCCAGCCAGCAACACCCAGATCCCACAAATTTTGTTTTATATTCCATGTTTTTAAATTGAACTCAAATTCCAAAATCTCCCATGGCAGGATTCAAATTCAGGTCCCCAGAACATTACCTAGGTCTCTGGATTAATAGTTTAACAATAATTCCACTAGGCCATCACTTGCCCTATTCATATTGTATTTTCATATATTAATTCTTCAATAATTTCAGAATCATTTATTTTAGAATCTGAATTTTGAACTAGTGGCACATGCATTTTGGTTTGTGTAGGAGGGGAGCTTGATTACCTCATTAGGCTTTCTGGACCCACGATTTTCTTTTTAAAAAACCAATACGAGAAAGACACTTCCAGAAGCAGTAATGGAAATTTGTTTGCATTCAGAGAGCTTGACAAACAGACCAAGTAAACATTGAAATGCACTAGTTTTATTTCAGTTATATGGGGTAAAATTGAGGTTTTTTTTTGGTCTTGGCGAAAAATTCATAGCTTGGAAAGTTTTTGTTTTCAATTTACACAAGAGCCAGTTGAAGTTGGATGTATGAAACACAGTTTCCCCAGGAGAAAGAAGCCAGTTCAGGCATGTTAGGAAATTAGTTACCTCAGTGCAAAGGTTTTACTTCCAAAGTTCCAGGCCAGAAATGTTTGGTTAGAAGACTAAAAGTTATTTGAAGCTGAGAAAGTCTAAGCTTAGATGCGTGAATACTGAAGGAATTGGAAAAAAAGTAGAGTCAAATTCTACTAAATGTCTGAGAGAAAGGAATTATTTCTAGTGTTTGAATACTATCAAGGGATACTGTTACAATAGATAAGATTGTATTTTTATTGTTTTTCAAATTGTGATGTAATTAACACACATTCTACTATGAGAGATAACAAGGCATAGAGCTGGATGAACACAGCAGGCCAAGCAGCAGCAGAGGAGCAGGAAAGCTGATGTTTCGGGTCTAAACCCTTCTTCAGAAATGGGGGAGGGCAAAGGGATTCTGAAATAAATAGGGAGAGAGCGGGAGGCAGATAGAAGATGGATAAAAAGGAGAAGATAGGTGGAGAGGAGACAGACAGGTCAAAGAGGCGGGGGTGGAGCCAGTAAAAGTGAGTGTAGGTGGGGAGTTAGGGAGGGGATAGGTCTGTCCAGGGAGGACAGACAGGTCAAGGGGGCGGGAT